ATGTCTAGCAATGTGATAAAATTTATATAGTAGCTAAAAGTATATAGAATTATATTTTGTTGGTATAGAGACTTTTTAGTTTAGACTTGATTTTAATGCTGTGAGCTAGGCTAAGTTTAAGCTTCTCTGGAATTTGCACAACTTTTAGTTGGACTCCAAACGTGATCGAGTKCCCTTATTTCTATTCGCCTCTGCCTCGTGCACTGCCGGCTTCTCTTTGTGTCATCGTTAATCCTATGTGTTTTTGCTTGGCTAGATTAATTTCTATTTTTACTACCAGTTATTTTACATGCTTTTGCACATAGATTCAAAGTAGCTCAAGATGTTGTATGCCGTGATCATCACAGCACCAACACATGACGAACTTGAAAAAACATATTTTTATAAGGGGAAATTATACGAAAATTTTATTAAAATTCTGAACTCTAACATACATCTAACCTTAAACCAATTAACTGTTCTAGATTTATAGAAGTTTCAAATGAGAAATGTAAGCCTAAAATGTTTGAATGGATGTTTTTATGTGAATTTTTTGTATTATAATTATTGCGAGTAACCTTATATTAGAAACTTTATAGTATTTTTTTATGGTAGGACTTTAAAATCGCCTCAAGGAATTCTGTATCCTCGATTAGTCTGAATACCCGAATATGCATGTCTGTGTCGATTGTGCTGCGTTTAAACTTGAAAAGGAATCCTGGGTTTAAGTTATCCCTGATGTTTTTAAATATTACTGTTCTGGTTCCGGAAAATGATATAAACTTTATTTAAAAAAAACTTCGTTTAAACTTAAAAAATTTCTGATAATTTTTTTGTGTTTTAAGATTTCAATAAAAATTATTTCTGATTTTCTCATGAAAGAAGTGTTAGATCTATTATTTCTCTAATGAAAAGGGAAAAACCCACTTCTTTAATAGAATGCGAACTGCGATAACATGCTGCGACGAAAAAACCCATCCATGCCAAACATTTTCGTTTGCCTTTCACTATAGTTTTTTTAAGCCATCCCTAGTGTTTCCACACTTCCTAGGTGAGTTAACCTCCATAAGTATATTGATTAGCTTCGCCAAGGTTTCTGGTTAAGATGTTTTAATTTTTCTTAAGGGCAAAGGGTTTCATCTCTAGACAATTCTTAAAATCAATAAGCTCTAAGAGGAGCTTGGAACCCGACTGGGCTAAGATTAATGCTTTGTTTACTCGTAACACGGCGCGATAATGAGTCTTTCGTGCGGTTATTGGGGTTTGAGTCGCTTGAACCACTTGAGAACCATGTTAAAACCGTGAGATAACTGTTCTCGTAACCGGAAAACTCGCTGGGAACTAGCTAAAGTCGATAAGCTTGTTCTACTGAGTGCCTTTGTGGTAAATTTGTTGTCTCTCAATAACCTTACAATAGATTCGTGTTTTGAACTGCAATCAAGGATTCTAAAGAAGAAAAAAGAAGCGCTCAAGTCGAACCAATTTGCTGCTAAAAGTCTTTGAATTCAATGAGGGACCCTTTCACTGCTTTGATTAACTTTTGTTTGAGCTCAGCAAGCCTTCGAACTCTAAAAAATTGATGACCAATTTAAAGAGTTAAGGGCCTTGCTACAGAAAAACAAAATTGTTTAAACCTTTGTCTAAGTTTTTATTTATCTAAATGTGCATCTTGCCTTTTTCTTGTGCACTATAAAGCACTCAGTTTTATCGGTCTGCTCGGTGARACGCCGTCCCGAGACTCAGTTTAGAATTCATAACAGCTCAAATGTCACTACGAAACTGCTGCTTTTATATTAGCAAATTAAATATTGCAAGTAAATGAAAATTTGAGTGAAATTCGGTTTAAAGGATTTTWATATTAGACAAATTGAAGTCTGAAAAACGATTCGTTAATGTTAAGCAGTTATAGCTAGTTATATACTACAGACGTGAACAGAGAGTCATTGAGTAGTAGAATGTTAAATTCAAGCGTAGAATTATTAACACTACACTTAGATAACCATTATTGAGAAAGRAAAGGCTACTCGGTCTATGACATCTCGAGTAAGTAGTATAACCGAGGCGTTTTGAGCCCTTTTCGAGCTACTCGCATTAGCGGCTGTCAGCCATATGGTGAAGTGCTCTCTACTTAATATCACAAGGGCCTCGATGAAAGCSTCGATGGTCTCAACCTCAAGTATACTGCACATCCTTATTCGAACCTTTTTTCTCTATAAAACCGGTCTATTAAACGTAAGGACTTAACTTRGGTATAAACATGTGATTTGTACGTCAGGGTTTTTGAGCCTGAAATCGGTCGTGGTTGAAGACATACAACCTGTTTGAGAAAACCAAAAGCTCGATACCCTAAAACAATATATTTCTTGTTTTTCTTTTCTTTTTTTCTTAAATAAGGATGTAAATTWTAGTGAAGTACGCTAATTTATTATGATTCCGATTGCAAACTAAGCAAATGTTAACTCCAGGGAATTTTTATGCATGGGAAATTTCACGTCTAAAGAGTGATTTTTTCGCTGCGGCAGTTCAACATCGAGGGGGCCAAGRTTTCAAACTGACTCTCATGACATTTCATGGTGTCCCTGCTAGGCTCRGCAATGAATTCACAAAAATACCGAGAAAATCTAACRRAYTCMTTGTAGGAATCGTAATAACAAGTCAAGAYAGCCCCACTAAACTCAATAAGCATGGTTATAATTTTGATTTTCCGAGTTTTAARCGTTGTTTCAGTCTTGACGACAAAAAACCGGGTAATTACTCTCGCCGTTATTTCTCTGTTTCTTTGTTTGTTTTGGTTCCCCTTAACGATGGTAAGACCACAAATCGAGWAAAACATATCAATGTCTACGTATTTTCAAAAGCGCTCTTGGTTGATAGCATAGCTTATAAACATAATCAAATAATCCTGAGTAGTTCGATAAGTGTCCCCAGCGAAACTATCAGTAACTTAAATGAAGCTATTCTGAAAATGTATTACAAGTCCGAGTAGATTGTAAGCGGTGTTTTCTAAATGTTTTCCGTTGGATTTCACCKCGAGACTTCAGTTTTGAAGTGTCATCGCGTTGTGCCTTTATGAGCCTCTACGTGCACAATCAGTCAGTGACTTTGACTTAACTTATCTAATCCAAAATGGTATTTTTAGAGCTAMCTATATAGTATAGTGATATAAGCAAGTTTTGTTTCGTTTCTCTGTAAGCCCACCAAGATGTTTACAGAATAGGATTYCCACCCCATAAAACATTTTCCAAACATCTGCTAAGGACTACTGGCCAAAAACAGTCKAAATAACATTCATGGCACCAAAAAAAATCCACCAAAATTACAATGAATAAAAACATTTTTTTTTGTAAACTCTTCTTGGTCTTGGGCCAGAGAAGAGTTTTAAAACAATTAACCCTTGTTTTTTATTTAGGAAAGTCTAAACTGGTAGTGATTTAGCTGATAACTGAGAAAATATATGTGATCAAAAACATTTAGTGTTGGGTAATCGAACTAGACATAATACTTTGCATTTCGTTTAAAAACACATAAAGGAGCCTTTTTTCTCTTAAATTAATTGTTTTGAATAAAAAGAAGGAAAGACTCTATGAACAAAGCCAAACAASCCAATTTCCTTGAATAATGCTATTTCGTAAGTATTTTCTTTTTATTATCCATGATGGTCATAAAGATCTTTCGATATTCATACATCGTAGCAGAAATAGTTTTCCTTTTTTGATAAATTTTCTCAATGTTTTCCCTAGTATTTTCAATATTCAAATAATATACATTTTGTACACTTATTATATATATTTATATATGATGAAGATAGGCATCAAGTTTATCTCTTTCTAGCTATAAAGTTTTGATATTATTTRCATGACTTAAGAATGCAATGTATAGAGTGTATTTACAGCTAGAGAGTTTGTTTGGCTTCCAGCCGACACTAAGAACTTCAGATTTGGTTAGACTCGTTTCGATGAATCAATGAACCAATGTCAAATACATCAGTCTTAACTAGCCTGCATGGAACCAGAGTTATCATATTGGTTTCAAGTCAAGCTAAAGTTTCTATGCTACAATGAAAATACTCAATATTAACAGTCTAAGACAAAGTTATCAACTTCGTTAACAAGAATACCATTCTTGTGGCTTATCCTTGGTTCTTACTGGAGATGATGGTGACCTAGGCACACTGTCCCGATTACTACTTAACGGTTCAATTTGCCCATTGGTTTGTGACAGACATGGTGACAGTGGTCTAATACCACCATTCTCGTGTAGTTTCATATGCTTTCTCAAAGAGCTCGGATGTGTATAACTTTTATTACATCCATCCACTTTGCAAATGTAGGGTTTGTCAGAGGTATGGACATGTGAGTGCTTTTTGCGGTCGCTCGAGTTTGCAAAYCGTCGATCGCATCCAGGATACTCGCAAACGAAAGGTTTCTCTCCRGTGTGAGTCCTTTTATGAATTTTCAAGTTCTCAGAGCGAGCGAATAATTTCCCACAGCCTGGGAATGGACATGGGAAAGGCTTTTCCCCCGTATGAACTCTTATGTGATTCACAAGTTTATACTTAGCTTTGAAGGGTAAGCCATTCCTGCTGCAGTCTTGCCAGTAGCACACATGTAAGTTCGAGTCGTTTGCACAAACGTGCTCATCTGAGATATGAGACACTATGTCCTGCATCATGSTATACTGTTTCCCGCACGGTTTTCGCTTACTGGCAGCGACCGACTGGTCAATCCACTGGCATGTCAAAATCTGGTTAGTAGGTTGCTTAACCAATGGCAAGTACATGCTGGGAGCAGTCGGACTTGGATAACCAGGAGGTGTGTGATCAACAAAAGGGTTACCTAGTCCCTGTGCAAATCTCTCTGGTCTCGAATACAAATCCCCTCCTCTGGGATACCTCAAAGAAGGATTTAAAACCTGCGGCATAGCGTGATGGGACACCGAATCGTGTGCGGGACCAAAGCTTCCGTAATGGACTGCGTCGATTCCTTTTCGTGCTACGGAGTGGTGGTAGCCCATGTTATTTGGATGTATTGCYGATGTAGGCGAAGAAGCGAACATATTGTGYCGATGACCATGATTTGAAGGATTCCCRATGGATTCGTGAATTGAAAAAGAGTGGGAAGACAAACTGCCATTTGTTCCCAGGTGAGATACTGCGTCCTGGTGGTGTATATAATCATGAGCGGCGAAACCTTGGCTCGCCACATGACGATAACTAGGAAACGAATGGTACAAACTTTGCTGCCCGGTCATCCCCGTCGTTTTCTGYTCGTATGACAGTGGTTCTGGAGGTAGACGATGGGTCGCCGCTAGACGAATGGACGATAAATGACTTGCGGGGTCCAGAATGTGATTCATGCTCGGTGAAGTTGTGCGTCTTCTATCTGAATACTCGCTAGACGTCAAAACACTTGTATTCARCCCGTGACTTGTCGTTGGATGTGATGGCGGTYCGTGTGACAGCGATGGCCGTTTGACGAAGTCGTGTTCCATACAACTGCTTATCACACGCTTCACTGTTGATCAATTTTGCTCCAGTGTAAATAACAGGGTTAGAAAAGCCTAATAATTAACGTTAACCGAGGGCCGATCGATGTGTGCACAGGCATCTGTTACGCCGTTGAAGCACAGCGTGACGCCCTCAAGATGATTGTACTACAAGCGTTTCACGCATGCGCAACTCGGCGATCGGCTGGGGCATTATGATTAGCTGTGCCATGCTGCGAAATGGTGATGTTTTTAATTGTTTGATCGGCCGGGAATACACGCTATATATGGTGTCTGTCTCATTATACATTTTCGTTCTGTTTGGGCAAATTTGACGCGGTTTTTAYGGGGTTTATCATCGTGATCACCTTAGAACGCCGCTAATAAAATCGCGTTTGATTATTCCCTGGGAATAACCAGCCCTTTTAGAAGCGATAAGAGAGATTATTTGAAGACCGTTTCAACTACAATCTCTTCGCAGGTGATTCAAGTTGATTGACAGTTGGGGTTGAGCTCAGTTTGAAAGACCCAGCGGGGTATAATAAACAGCTTATACCAATTGTCACACTTGGCTTCTAAAAGAGGACCAAAAMCCCTTCCTGATATAAAATTAGCCCTCCTCTRMCATCCAAAATGTCCAAGATTTCAATAAAGTGTTCTGYCTATTCAATGTGGGAAAACTATTCAGTTTGAGTCCCTCTGAGAGTTTCGCCCTTTAAGATATTGTGTACGCACCAAAATACAATACCATTGAAAAGAAACCGACGGGGGATGCCAATGTTTTGCCCTAGCATGCATGCGGAGTTCTGAAGCCTACTCTAGTCAAAGCCAGCAAGCCTAGCGATAACTGAGCTCAGTGAGATTGCCTGTCATTGAGTGGTTTTTCTAGTGGTTTTCAAACACTTTGAATAAGAAAATAAAGCTTTTGACCCTGTGTCAGATTTTATCACGCCGTAAGCGTGTCGAGAAGATAACATTGGAGTATGTGTGAATTGGGGTGTTAAGATAATACCCGTAAAGAACGATATCGTCGCCATTGATGAGCTTAAACCCTTTGAAGGATTCTCCGGTATTGCGTGTTGCTGAGTCTTCTGAGCTCACTTTTAAGGCTGAGGTTGGAACTGCAGGGATGTTGATSTCAAACACSGTCACCYATTGTAGCCATGCTATGGGCACGACGGGATATTTAGACCTCAAGCGAGCTATTTACATCGAAGCGCTAAGCTTCAAAGCGGTTAAGCCTTGAATCCGCTAGTCCAAAAAAACCCAATGTTTTATCTTTGCAATTATGAACATTTAATTTACGCTTTTAATTGATTTTTTTCTGCTTTTTAACCCGTGTATTATACAAGCGTTTAGATATATTTGTAATATTATTTTTTTTCTTCTCGCCGAGGCCCCTGTAAAGTAGTCGTGGTCGATGGTATTACAATTCTATGTGAACGCAGCTATTTTCCATTGTATTTGTGTTTGGAGGGTGTTATTTTTTTAGGAAAATAAAAACTAAGATGCCATGCGAATTTGCACTGCCATCTTGGTGATTTACAACTCCTTTCTGTGAGCGCAAAAAATCCGTCACCYCGGGCAAAACTATCTTGTCGTAACACTCAGAATTCTGACATCCTTTGTGGTCTATCATTGTAAATTCGAATGTCAAGAAATGACGCTTCTTAACAAAAAAAGTTTTAAGTTTCACAAATAGACTCGGYAGCATCTGGATTCGGGTCAAAAGACAYGTCTCCACGTAGCTTAAATGACTTGARATTCATTGACAATTTYCATCAATCTTGATGCTGTAAACGTATACTAGRAGATGTGAAAGTCGGTCGACGGGTTTCCGGCCCCCAGGCTGTCGTAGGCTGATAGTTTTTTTAGTTCAAGGGGTAAGTTATTACTGCGTATTTAGCCCTGGCTCTCACCTGCTAGCACTGCGGCCCTGCATATTCTCAGCTGTCCTATTTAGACGCTACATATTGGCAAACAGATTTTTAGACGGAGAAAATTTAATAAAAATCAAGTTTTTTGAGTTTATCGGGCTCTTTCTTTGCGCGTTTATTGTTCCAAAACCGACCATTGAAATCCTAAACAATGGGTTTATTTTGGAACATTTACCCAACACCTCGTGATATAGAATATCTTGAACAATTATTAATAAATAGGAAATGAAACTTAAGGTTTTTCTTTATAGAATATRTATTATATATAATATGTTTCTTTCATGGTGTTGGGGCTTTTGTTATTCAATGCAACTGATTGCCTTTTCACAAGTTAGAGAGTGTTAAGCGGCATTGTCTGATCGGACAAAAGTACCACAAAGGYAAACTGAAGTGAATTCCAAAGTCTACGCTATCTCATGGGTTATTGTGTCTGWATGTTGACTTCTTTAAAAAGAGTGAGATCTTAAACAATGTATTCTATTACAAGTTTTGATATCATGTTCCGAGTCGCTTGTGCGAGCTCAAGTTCTTCTGTTTTTATAGCTTTAAGAAGTGGTGTTTTCCATTTATGGTGATCTTTCATCAATAACGCCCCGACAACTGTGAATTATAAGAGCTAAGTTTATAGCTTTTCTTTTATAGAATCCAATTTTGAATGTCTACTTTCATTTCCTAGATTTGAGCACTTATCCTGTGTTTTTTGAATACATGTGATCCCACCTAGTGTGATCTGACGAATCGTAAATAAAGACATAAAGGTTCCACTTCTTTTGATCAATGGCTGTTCACAAAAAGGAAAAAAGAGAATCTATTGACTACAAGACAACATTGCTTGGTTTTTGCTGAAAATATTCCCATTAAGTCGTTCAGGGGCTAAGTAATTGCTTCTTAAAAACTTATTGAATTGTAGTCTATCTAAACGTTCTAGCTGGATGTGGGATTCCTTGTTTCTTATCTAAAATGCACCAATACACATAAATATTTTTTTCTATTGGAAGGTTTGAGAAGGTTTTGGAAATCTTAAAAGAAAAAAAAATGATAAATTCTCTAAAGAATTTTATACTACATTTTTCGATTTTTTCCACTGAATTCCATCTAATCAAAAACTGAAACTTCTATTTATTTATTTTTTCTCATTGCAAACAGTGAACACTTTATCGCGAATCTTTTACCAAATTAATTATCAATCGATCTATACATCGACTTCATTATCACATGTTCGTATTTCCAAACGATCGATTTCTGAATTCCTTTATTAACCATTYTAAGTACTCAACGTGCTCGAGAAAAGGTCTAGCAAAATGCACTATGTGTACGGAAACAGCTTTGTATAAACAAGAATGACTGGTTATGCGTACGAGAACATATATAGGTCATATATAGCTTATATAGCTTCAATAAGCTTCAATTTCAAAGAATAGAACTTTGTTTTTTTTTAGAGCTTGGTTGGATGTTTTTTGGTAGACTTGTTAAGAGATTTCAAGACCTTGAAATATATTTTTGGGATATGAATGAAACAGAAGTGATCATTTTGTTTTAATTATAATCCTTGTGCTATGAAAATAGTTTAAATTACTTGTMGATCCCTTGTGAAAGTCAAGTGAAATATTCTGATAAATATATAAATTCAATCGGCTTATTAACCTGCTCTAGAGAGGGATATATATATATTTTATATCCGTTAGAATTGACGCAAAGATCTGATACCTCTTCTTAATATATCATATGCAAATAGATTTTATAGTACATGCATATATAGCTCGCTGAAGAAAACCTGTAAAAAAATTGTAAAATGTAAAAACGTACTGAAATCTATACTAAAATATTATCTTTAATCACATTTACAATGAATTTACTAGATTTTATTGCGAGAAAATTACAGAATTTCTAACTAGCTCACTAGAAAACATCATGAAATGGTTGCTGATCTGCAAACAGCAGTTTTCTAATATTATTTAGTTGATGTAGAAATCATTTATAAGGTGAATTCGGTTGCTTAGGTATTTTACCATTTTTTCATAATTTTACCTGCTAATTTAGCCGATATAAATTGAAATGGAGGGCGTTTGAGGTGGAAAGCGGAAGTCTGTCACAAGTAACGGAACAATTAAAAACCGTGAATTTCTCCCTGACGAAGCGGGAAATCTTACAGGTATGAACAATAGATAAACAGTCACGTTGACTTGGACAYATAAATACCTAGCTGGATATATAACACGCAATGGCTTTTTCCCCATCTTTTAATAGTTTTTTGCGTTAAAAAGGTAATTCTAATTGGWCTTATCTCAGGAGAGATCTCTGAAAAAAAGCTTGAGCTAATTTAGAATTTTTTTGATATTCATACGTATGAAGAAAAATACTCCAAACTTGGAACATTTACTACGTTTAGTTAATATTCACGCTTTCTCTCTTATTGAAGTCTCCGAACATGTACTAAGGTAGTAAGCTTGAAATAGAATTTTTTAGGAGTTTTATAGAATATATGCCAATGTATARCATTGTACTTTGCAGTTTTTTGACATGAGGGAGTATAAAAAGATTTTAACTGACTTTCWCCTACATTCGATGGTTAAAAAGGATGTAGGTGTAGCCAGAAAAGATTCAATCGTCACGATTTGATATATCATTAGCCAAAGAAAACAAAATGTAGAGCTTAAAACGTGTTTATTAATCGTTAATTGTCTTARAATCGTTTATTTGAAAAGCACTGGTCACGGAAATGAAAGGAAAAAATTGCAAATTACATACACTAAAATAGTTTTTCGTAACTCGTTCAAAGCCCAGAAAAAAAAAGAATTGCTTAGTGGGGGTATTTTAGTGTCTGAAATGATGAAAGCAATCTATCTTAGACAATAAAACGGTCTCTAATTTACTGGTATTGCACAAGACATTCATTTGAAAAGAGAGTTATAGACTACAGCTATAATCAACTGAACAATCAAACACCTTCAGTACATACCATACTATTATCACATATCCGTAATAAAAAAGCGTTTTCGCACTCTTTACAAATCATAACTTGCTTTCAATAATACAGGGTATATATATATATTATATGAAACCTGAAATTACAAATTGTACTATAGCCGAACAAAAAATCCCCGTTGAAAAATTTCCGAGTTTGAATTACATAAATAAACATAGGATACACTCCCTTTAAGTTAAACATCCTGTTAAACATCCATACAGGTTCAGGGTCGTTTTATTTCGCCATTAAACAAAATGTCGGAGTTTATTAAATAAGAGATACATCGAATATGMAAGGAAAAACCGTGCGAAATAAAGAGAAATAAAGTGTACAAAAAAATATAGAAAGGCGTAAAAAAACGCAAAGAAGAAGCATGCAAAATAAAGATAAACAAAGTGTACAAATACATCGAAAAGTGCAAAGAAAAACCATGAAAAATAAACAGTAATATAGAGTATATTTCACGGGTTATAATTAATAAACCAACCTAGTATATTGTTATTTGTGTCAAGATAATAAAGGCTACTGCATTTGATAAAGTAAAAGATTAACATCCATTTAAAGATACTGGTTTGTAAGAATGTATTTGATAATAAACGATTAATACATGAAATTCAGCAGCTCCCACTTGGACAACCTGTAGCACAAATAAACCTAGGTACTTATAAAGTAAATAAATTCTGATAAAATGGAGTACCGTGTCATACTATAGCATAATTCTAACGATAAACACCCTTTGAAAGATGTTTGTTTGTTAACGTTTATATATAGTCAATTGAAGAAATTCTGGGCGCTAACTTATATCAATATTTTGTTGTTATCGCCAATATAAGCCACATATTTACCATCAAACTGAATATTATGCTTGAATATACTTTAATAAACATAATTTCAAAGTATATGAATGATTTGCGATMTGTTTTAAGSGGGAAAGCCGAGCGAAAAAGATCAGATTGCCAATGATGCACCTGGTGTAATGTTATAAGTGAACGGTCAGAATTGTTGCAACTGACTGATGTATATAATAAAACTTGAAACTATTTAATATATATAATAAAAGGCAACTTAAACACCCTYTATAAACAAAAAAACTGCCGTTTTATATATAGTAGTATGTTGTACTAAAGCCACTGTAAAAGTAGTAGCGGTAGATGCGATAGATGTTAAATTATATAAATTATTTGAATGGGAATTTGGAGATAGCTCAAAACGTTACTATGCAATAAAGATGCGTGAAAATTCAGCTAGATATCTTTCGTTATCGGTAAAAGGCTTATAATGTGAATAGCCTCAGAGTGGCTACAGATTAGATGATGAAGATTAACACATTGGTTAGGTCTAGTAAAGAGCTCTAGCTTTTCTACAGCTGAAACAAATTGGAACTCTCCATTTAACTTTATATAGCAAGCACTTCAAATCAGAGTTCAAATAGAATAAAGAGATTTGTAAAAAAACTAAATTTTATCCGAAAATTTTAACAACGAAGTTATATATAAATGCAAAATACTTTTTAAGAACCTSCTTTAATCGATGTAAAAAGAGGGTATGAAAATAGTGTATATCCATGCCGCACGCACGCAAAAAATAAAAGAGAATTCGGATTAACTTCAAAGTAAATTGGATCCGTTTCATGTACAYATCACAGACTCTTAGAAAGGTCTTCRAAYGAGGRGCTTAAACAACCCAAACAGGATACAAGCAAGGCGGCGAAGCCATTGAGRGTTATTCAGAGACACGTAGATAGGCTGGAGTCTAAACAGATGGCCCAGATCGTATCTTGAACGTTCTTTGGTTTAATCAGAGTGAAGGTTGTCATATCKGGCAATAATTATGAGCTTTGAATGGCATGATGAAAAATCGAATTTGAACACGATCATCAATATAAGATAAGGCTAAAGGAACCAGTAGCGAATAATTATAAACATGTAAATAATATTGTTCAAAGATTGCACTTGCTATTTTTTTCAAGAATGAGAATTTTAAGATTAGGAAAAAGACACTAGCTAAGACCAGTAAGTGAAAATTACAAATATATAAATATGGTGGTTTTACTTTAAGAATTTCACTAGCTATGTTASCCGCGAAATTTAGCAAAAGTTACTGTTTAATAGTCAAAAATTATTATAATCTCAGATCGTTTCAAAGAATTACCCTAGCTTTGTTTCTCGAATGTTTATTTTAAGATTTAGCAAAAACTACTTCACCAGATGTCAAAAGTTATAATTCAAAGAAAGACATAAAATTGTTGCTTTACAACTGATTTAAATGTTTGCGAACGTATTTGTATATAAGTTGGCTTGAACCGTAACTAAAAATTATAAACTTTTGCTTCAAAATTTGTAATCTAGCTTAGAGAAAGATACTTGGACAGAGTAGCTACACTTTATGAATACATTTTTTTTCTTTTACTCCAAGAATTGCACTGGCCGTGATTAAGGAATTTATACTATACGATAAGGCAGAGTATTCTTGGAAATATTCTTGTATTAGTGTGTATCTAATAAAGATGAAAAAATTTTTGTTTCAAGAATTTTAAGTAATGTTCCCGACTGCAAATTWTGCAGGTGAATAATTTTCAAAGACCGCCATCTTATTTCGCTRTCAAACCTGTTTTCAGAGAGAATCGATTTGAAATTGGCTGCAATTGTTGGCAACAGATCTATAGATCCAAAGATCAATTCAAAATATAAAGAACGCTTAATTCCCTTGCTGGTATTCGAGTATCAGCCCACCATGCTTGATCTGGTGCTACTAGCAAAATGACCAGCTACTTTTTTTGCGATTTAAGTCAAAGTTCCTTTACGATGAAATGACCCTGATGTTTTTTGGAAAGAAATCCTTMTGGTTCTATATAATCATATTCTAAAGACTTCTGTTAGTTTAAAATCCTTTTTTTWAATTTATATTACGATGGAACTAAACAGGAAAGCAAATTCACCAATATCTCTGACAGATAACGCGAWAAATGGTATTTTTTGCTGGTATTTTTGCAGGTCCTATGCTACTGCTGAATTCCAAAGACTTAAGACAGTTTATAAAGTACTTATGTGTCATTTAAAGCAATATCTAAAACCAAGGCGATGTCTATTTGATGTGGTATTGATCRTCAACTGSTGCTATATAGTCTAGCCTCATTGTRCTCCTCACGCCTACTGAAGTTTTATATAGATTGCGTGTGATTTTTACGCTAAAATATATTTTCAAAATTATTATAAAGCTCGGGAATATTCCTATAAGAACATCTTTAAAATAAAAATTAGATGTAGATTATAAAATCATTTAAGCTATACAGAAGAAAGATTTAAACTCACATTTTTTTTTACATATTGTACTTTCACGTTAATTTTTTTTTTGCGATAATAGATACACGAATTAAGGAAATCCCATTTTTATAATATGTTATTTTTACTAAGCTCAAAGATGTTTTTTTACCTATTAAGTCATTGGTATTTTTCGGCACTTAAAATTATGTAAACATCTAGAATTATGAACTTATGTAATTCAGCTTGTTTTGTAAACATTCTTTTATCGCAAAAAAAACGATTATGCCGAAAATATGTCAGCAAAGTCGGTCAATATTGATTCTAAGCACTTAATAAAAACTTAACAATTTAAATATCGATTTACCAACGCACAAACAATGTAAATGTTTAGTTAAAAGATATTTAGCGGCTTCGCCAGCATGTCTGGTGCTGGGGTGCTCGAAAARAGCATCACTCAAAAAATGTCGGAAAAGGCACCTCGAATTTCATGCACTTAGTTAACTTATGTTGATTGATATTACTATAATTCTTTATTTTTATTTATTGCTTACTATCTTTCAATGAAACAGCGCTAACTCAATCGCTAATAAAGTATGAATACATCATATATAAAATATAAAAAAATATTGAAATTATTGAGAAAAATTGCAATTATTATTATTATTTTTTTTAAGCTCCACACGGTATTTTACATATATATATTTTACATACATAAAATACTGAGCTAAACGCTTTGAAAAATTATTCTTCAATATTAAGTTTGTATATTTTACATATATATATTTTCTTTACGTTTTATATTTTTTTGAATTTATATATATTACAATCTTCACATTTTTTTTTGCCATTGAAAAAAATATATTGAATTCTACATAAACAACTATACATTCATCTTTGAATTTTGTAAAGAAAAGGCAAATTTATGTATATGATTACTTCATTTATATTTATTTTAGACTTTCTCTCGCAAATTTTTTTTTTTTTTATATTGTTTTTTTTTTTTGTATATTCACTAACAATCATTCACATGTTATTTTCAATCCGTTTTGTAAAAGATGGTAAGATTATCAAGCAAAGTTAATCACTAATCGCTGATTCAACGAAAAATCTCTTTTTAATAAAACGATTTTCGTTCGGCATGGCTCACTTGCTTCCCACCTAAACAGTGCTTTTAGATATTCTGAGATATCTGTCAATTGCAGCCATACATTCTATAGAACTATGGTTTGTATGCCCATCTTCATCTTCAATAACATTCAATTTTTCCACCTAAATAGCTCACGGAAAAACGCCAAATGCATMAMTTATTAATCGTATTTTTACACAGTTTAAAATAAATATACTTTCACTATAAAAAGTCGGACCAATTYCAATTTCCCCAGCGCGATCTCTAAGAGCGTTCTATATTTGAAACATGCAACGAATTGTATAGTAACAGTTTATTAGCAATTGAAAAGGTTTGTAAATAAACTAAACATGTTTCGTGCAAAAAAGTCTATAAGTGCGTTAAGACTAAAGGCACGTTGAAAGCAACGAAAAGTATGAGATATTTATCWAKGTCTTGTATTTMCTCGATAAGAAATATTGCTGACAATTCCAAATTGATCYCCCTTTACTATTTTTGTGTAAATAAATCTCTGAATGCGCCAAATTCATTAATAATTGATAACATTTTGGCACTTTTTAGTAAAACATACATTGTACAACTTGCAATGTTTAAATTGCATTATAGAACATACGATTTCACGACTTCGACTCTGATTAACTTCCGAAAAATCACTAAGTTTCTCAATCCTTTTACGTTGTACAATTTGTCACCGTACAGGCGCCGAGGCAGGTGGGTTTGGGGGCTCGGAAAGCCCCCAGAGACCGAAAAGCTTAAATGTTTTGAATTGATTAAAAATTAGCTCTTGTCATGTTTTGTGGGCAATTTTTGTATTAGAAGAATTGATTTTTTTTTTGCAGAACGAAAAAATTTGTGAAGGAAACCCGATTCCTTGACTAACTTTATTTTTTGAGGTCTTTCTTGTTATCCTTGCTTTGGGATGTCATTTTTGTTGTTGTCCGCTCTCTATAGTGTCTATATTTCCCTATATTTGTCCAAGACCAGAGCCCACGGAAAAAATTAATGTGTGGCACTAAAATATATATATGTGCCGCCATCTTGCTCATTTGTTTACTCATTTGTCGATCAAAATGCATGATGGTTTCAGGCGTGCCGCAATAGACCCCTTGCAGTTCATGGGAATACAGCTCCAACTGGAGGACAAAACAATAGATTCTAGTTCCCAAGAGGATAAAAATCTTTTGTTTTGTCCTCCAGATGAAGCTGTTTTGACGTCACATGCAAGGGGTCTATTCGCCGTAATAAGTATGGTAAATTCAGATGATAAAGTGCCAACCATTCTAGATACAGAGTACGACTGCCTGATTTACCGCTCGTAGAAGGGTAAAAGTGTTGAGTGAACACGTTAAACCCGTGAAACAATGTCTAATCATAAAAGTTTTTTTAACGCATTGGTTATTGCTTTGATTATACAGTAACTCTTATTTGTAAATATTATTGTGTACGAGGGGTTGGATTCAAACGTTTGAACGTTTGAACACCACCTTAATTTATTTGGATTTTTTTATATAATAATATATAACGTCATACTAAATTAATACTTTTGTTTTCATAAAATTAAAAGAATATCGTAAGCAATAAAACGATATGATCTGCATTATCAAGACAGGCAGAAGGAGAAACSTTATATGCCCCACCCCACCCCTCCCCCCTYTCAAAATTTTCAAGAACCGCCCCTCTATTTTATGTTCTKTTTGCTTTAAGTGATATAGTCATAGACCACGCTTAATAAACAATTGCTGGCTCCATTGACAGAAAAATACTTCTGGGCCTATTTACACATGGTGTTCAAGATAATACCGATATCACTCTAGTTGCAGACAAAACAACGTCGACCCTATTTCGAAGGAAAAGTACAGTACAAAGGCACTCTTTGAGCAGTTTAAAAACAGGAAAAAACTATATAAATATTTAGTCAATCACAGARCATTTCGAAACAAAATAAAATAATTCAATTATAGGCAGCCTTGAATGAAAAACAAAAAAATCGACTGAAAATGACTCGGAGTTTTTGTTAAATTGGTGACGGCGTCGTTAAGTATGTTTTCAACCGAATTAGTTCGGTTCTTTAGTAAGCAGTTTTAATAAGCGAGTTATAGTTAACTTGGAAAAGAAAGAAAAAATCTACACCTGAGTTTGGATTTTGAAGTTGTTACCATAGTCGATCAAAGCTTGTTAGATTTTGATATAAATCGTTGCCGAGCGCCCTTAACGTTTATCGACCGAACAAATGACTTTTCTTTTTGAAAACGAAACTTCATTCACGTATGAAAAGCAGTTAACACAAAAAATAAAAGTTTTTAGACGTATTACTATTGCCAATCATTATTTTCTGTATAAAAAAAGMTTAAAACGTATTTTTCAACATGAAATGAACAACTTATCACTTACCAATGAAGGCCGTTGCAAGCGTCAAATTATCGGCAACTTCAAATCATCCCATTCTACCGCAAACCCGTTCAAGATAACTCCTTATTCTCTACTGGGTTAAATCGCTGTTGTATAAGGTCTACGAACCTTTAACCGGGGTCTAAGCACTGTCATTGCTCGCCTAAGCGATATCAATATATTGATATTAAGCGTGCCTTTCGCGTATAGCGAGAATTCGAGTTGGACGATAGTATTCAACTGCGTTTCCAACTGTGTAGATAATATGCTGGCATAAAGAAGTAGGATAAAGACTTAAAATATCGAGGCCTCGGCGGAATGGCGATAGTCACGCAGCGAAGATGCTACTAAACACTGATCACTTGACAGAGCTAAATTCAAAGCGCTTCTTTTCTCCTAGATTTCAACACAAATTAAGACAAAAAAGAAAATTTTTTACTTTTCAAATATTGTATTATTTTTTCTTTAGCCTTCTAATTGCAATGTTCAAAAAGATTTCGTCTTTTTAAGAGGTCGAAACAGTAAAGATGAAATTTGGTCGCTAGTTGGATACCCAGACATGCTGGCGAGGGTTACTGCTGTTTTTAAAAGACCGAAAGACGATAATTCTAATCGTTGATTGCATCTTTTGACATCTAGTAGAGCATATAACATCACCGATCATAAGATCAAATAAATTTTAAATGATAAATAGTGCGTTAACAGTGTGAATGGCGTCGCCTTCTCTAATGAAGCACATGTTCAAGAATAAGTAAATTCTATTCTAAATTCGCACTGACTTTCATATGTTATTGCGCTGTAAAGCAATTTAGTCTTTGATATGCAGTGAATTGAAACTTAAAGAATCGATTCGCATCTGAATATAATTTTAAATTTGGCTAAGAAAAAGTTCATTAAGAAATTGTCACTTCCATTCTATGTTTATTTTAGTTACTATTTCAATCTAGTTTCCTATACTTTGTACTTAGTGCGGGTGTCAACGAGTATTTTTAAAAGTGAAAAGAAAAGAATGCATATTTTTCTTGTCAAATTTAGGTGTGAGAAGAGACAGAAAAATACAAAATGTCGTGAAAGAGAAAAAAGACTCAAAAATATCGTTAAAGGAATATGATTTTCAAAAATTTCGGAAAAGAAAACAAAAAAAGTTCAAAAAGGTTTGGAATTGTCGAAAAAAAATCCAAGATGTCGGAGAAGAGAAAGAAAGCGCCACAATGTCGTGAAAGTGAGAGAAAATTTCAAAATAGAAAAAGAAAATCCAAATTGTCTCTGAATTGTCGAGGAATTAAAACTAGCAAACTAACAAAAAGAGACCAGATGTCGGAGAAGAGGGAAAAAAATGAAAGAAATKTTCAAATTATTSAGGAAGGAAACGAAAACTCGGAGACGTCGCGAAAAGGAAAGAATMTSGACGTATTTTATATATTACCGGGAAAAAAAGAGCAATCCAAAATGCTCGTAATGTTTCCAGCTTTTTTTATTGTGTATTATTCATATTTTATATCCTTTGGCAGTTAAACATTTTATTTCAACGTGTACACCTTCYAGTGAGGACTAATTGAAAAAGGAAGCTTGATTAGCTACTGCGTTCATAAACCATTATACGATCTGCAAGTTAAAATCCATTTCCACCTACTCTCCGTCAATCTGTAAGTTAAGATTATCATTACACGATGCACTTATTGGAATTAAACTTATGGTATTTAATTGCTGAAAATGTTAAATTATAGCCACGGCGTTTGGATCCCTGGTGCCAGTTTTTAATTTAGGGTGAAAATCAAGAAAGTCTCATTTGAATTGAATTAGAGAGCGATTTTACATTASAACGTGTCWAGGCWATAATGGGTGTRAAACAGTTTATGTTCTTTCAATGGTTRTTCAAACAATATTTTATATTCTAATTCATATTTGCTTTTTCCTAATCGTAAATGAACAGAGCGCTATAAGGGCCATGGTCCATGTGTATCTTTTACGAGCTTTTGTTCATCTTTTAAAGTAAAAATACATCGTCGTAATACAAGCCAAAACGTACTATTTATTATCCCTTTATGCKATATGAATTGTAATGTGCGATCTTAAAATGACTAGCGAATGGATATTTGAAGTCACCTAATATTCCATTAACGAAAAATACAGATTTTTATTACTATTATATTTAATTTCTCGCGTATATCAGTGAACTATTATTATTATTTTTAATATCAAAAATTATGTTTATTAGCTCAACCTCATCATTATTATMTTTCGTTTTTCTATTCTATTTGTTTCAAACCCTCTATCTCCATGGCGACGTCCCTCCCTATTGCATATACATACGCTGTTAGTAACACTCCCAGCTTTCAAATCTCCTCGAATTCATCTGTATTAGTAATCACACTGGATTAAATCTTAGCATTGATAAATTATCCCTTTCTTCTTTATTTTGAGTTTCACCAATTCGTCTTGTCAGAGCATATTCTCGTGTGTTCATTTTAGATATTATTTTTTCGTACTCCATTTGTTTGTCTTCTCCTATTTCTCTAGTATTCGGTCATTTCTGAACTGTCATATAATCTCTTCTAGTTCCTTATGCTTTAGTTTTTTTTTTTCAAATATGTCGTGTCCTGGATTCAAATCGTTTATTCCTCCAACATATGTTTGTTTTAATGTCTACATGAGCGATATCATTTTCGCATACTTCCCTAGCAATTCGGCCTTATTTTTTTACTGTCTTCCCTCTACCACTATTCTRTTTGCTTGTGTTTATATTTCCATTTSTATTTTAGCTCGCTTTATTTACTTAATTGTATTCTAAAGGCGTATCTCTTCCAATTTAATGGAATGGCTGCGTGATAACTTAACGAACCTGAATCTGTACGCATGAATCACCAGCTTTCCAAGTTTATACAAGAATTGTGCATCTAATTAAACTGCTCTTTGAAAAAAAAAAAAGATGTCGTATTTTCCCTACCGTCTTTAATTCTTTCAAACAAATAAAGAAACAACAAGGAATGGGTTTCAGTCTCGATTGAAGAATTTAGAATCATTATTTCTCAGGAAATGTTTCCTATTTTGATGCATACTGTTGTCCAACCCAACTTACTAAGCATCAAGTGTACTCCATGCTTATCTTATGTTTATCGCTTTTATTTAATACCACATAGTAACTTTATTCAGAAAAAGGATAGTCTAAAGTAGCTAAACGACATTGAAATGATATTCAAAAATGAGTAAAATCGGAATGAACACTAACAAATAGCCAAGCCCTCCATGAGACTCTTCGATCTCTCGCATGTTTCATCTTTACGTAAAATAGCTGTGTCAGAAGCTAAAGAAACATCAGATTTTCACACTCTAACAATTGACATCAAAATAAATGTAAAGTACGGTTTAATATCTTCAAAGATTAATGGTTTAACTTAAAAGAAATGTGTTTAGCTTTAGAAGAAGTGGCGAAGAAAAATGGCGTCGATGTTATTTTGCACTGTGTGGTCTTGATAAAACTTGATAAAACTCATTCGATTTTAGTTTGTCATGCGTTTAATTTTGAGCAAACGACACAAGCATCTWTACTAGTSTACTTATTATTTATTTTTTGCGTCTGTCTTTTCGTCTTTTCTTTTGAAAMGGCATTTCATCATTTTCCGTCTCCATTCTATAAACATTGCATTTATACCCGTCAAAACTTTGAACATCTTTTGCTTCTGTCTTTTCACTTGAAATCTCTTTATTGCTTCTACATGTTCATGTTATAAAATATCATAGAATTATGAATAAAAAGCTCTTTTTAAAAAGACCAGCTGAATACAGCTTGRCCGCCGTACGCCGTTTGGTGCTCGCTAAAAGCTCACTTCATTACAAAGGACTCCATCAAGACCTCATCGTGTGCAAGCACTAACCAATTTAAACCTCACAGTCGGACCACCCACGATTTTTAAAAGTCTTTTGGGTTTTATTTTTGCCTGGAGACAATCACAAACTTTGATTAGTCCAAGGACACAAAAAGGATGTTATGCAGAAAAGAAAAGCTCGGTCTCTTAGATTTGATGTTAGTCTTAACATTGCAACTGAGGCAATTTGAATTTGCTTCGTTTTTGGTTATTATTCTTTTTTTTTGTTTTCATTTCAAAGTTTCTTGTAGTTTTTTATTCTTATTGACTTTTTCTTCTTTTCTTGATTATTTTCTCTTCTTTTTAGATTTTTTTTATCATCATTAGCTTCCCAATATTATAAAAGCAAAAATACAACAGAAAACTAAAAAAAAACATATTTAGGATATAAGAAAAAACTCTAAAAAACTAGGATCAACTCATATGTACCCCCAATTGATGTTTACATAAACGCTATCTTAAAATCACAAATCTACGTACTATAATAAAGAAATCCCGCGTCCATTTATCCTTCCCGACCTGAGAACAAAAAAACATCACCCATTAGAAAAAAGCGAGCCCCCGTACGGATTTTCTGCTTTGAAAGACACGGGGCTAATCCTAAACAAGAAGAAACTTTATGAATCACATTTAACATAATATAAAAATTCCTCTTAAATAACCCATAAACTTAGCAAGTTTGATTTATATCATCAGCCGCCATTTTGAATTGAGCAGTCATTCCAAATAAGGTTATTACTGCTAATTTGCATATCTAAGTTTCTGGAACATAGGTTCGTATCATAAACTATTATCTCATGTGTTTTGAATTCTYATTTATCATATAATTATCKATGAAATACCTMTATTTCTCCATTTGGTAAACTTGATATTTTCAMTAGTTRAAATAACACATTCGAGGTTTCTCTATATAGTTGAAGTAAGAAAAAAGGTATTTTATAAGACATAATTTGCYTTSAYATGTAATTATATGATAAACAGAATATTACATGTTCGCTTGCAGATACGAATTTTATCTTCTCGTGTTGAAAATCGCCACGCTCATTCGTGAGAGATTTTTTCAACACTCGAAGATGAAATGTGCATCTCCGCGCTCCCATGTAATATCCTTTATTTGTTATAAAAAAATGCTACTTGAAAAATGTCTTGGTTTGATTTTTTGAGCCTATCTTTCTCTTTGTATGAACTCATGTTTTTTAGCCTTTGCTTATACGCATGCTAATCGATTTTTTTTTGAAACCGCGATTTTTCAATGGTGAGAGGCGTTTCTCGAAACCACCATATTTCGATATCTTTTAACAGAAAAATGTAAACGTACTTAAAACTTCGCAGCGAAGCCACAGTTTTCAATTCAAACCATGCCAATTTTAATGAAAGTTTGACTAAATTCCTGTTTCGACCAAATAAATTAATTTAGTATTTGAAAAAGTCATCTTGAAAAGTGTAAATCCAAGTTTTAGATTTATTTTTTTTTTATTTTCTAAACAAACTAAGGACAGACACGCTTAAGAAT